TTTTCAGGGGTCACCCGAGGTCTGCCCATTTTCAGGGGTCACCCGAGGTCTGATCGTTTTCAGGGGTCACCCGAGGTCTGCCCATTTTCAGGGGTCACCCGAGGTCTGCCCGTTTTCAGGGGTCACCCGAGGTCTGCCCGTTTTCAGGGGTCACCCGAGGTCTGATCGTTTTTAGGGGTCACCCGAGGTCTGATCGTTTTTAGGGGTCACCCGAGGTCTGATCGTTTTTTAGGGGTCACCCGAGGGCTGACCGTTTTCAGGGGCCACCTGAGTTTTGACCATTTATTTAGGGTTAGCTGAGATCTGATCATTTTCAGGGGTAACCTAGGATCTGACCATTTTCAGGGGTCACCCGAGGTCTGCCCGTTTTCAGGGGTCCCCCGAGGTCTGCCTGTTTTCAGGGGCCACCTGAGGTTTGACCATTTATTTAGGGTTAGCTGAGATCTGATCATTTTCAGGGGTCACCCGAGATCTGACCATTTTAAGGGTTCACCCGAGGGCTGACCGTTTTCAAGGGTCACCCGTGATCTGCCCGGTTTCAGGGGTCACCCGAGATCTGACCATTTTAAGGGTTCACCCGAGGGCTGACCGTTTTCAGGGGCCACCCGAGGTTTGACCATTTATTTAGGGTTAGCTAAGATCTGATCATTTTCAGGGATAACCTAGGATCTGACCATTTTCAGGGGTCCCCCGAGGTCTGCCAGTTTTCAGGGGTTACCCGAGGTCTGCCCGTTTTCAGCGTTCACCCGAGGTTTGACCATTTTTAGGGTTCTGAGGTCTGACAATTTGGGGTATCCCCTAATATCTAAATTTAAGTGTCAACTAAGATCACCCCAGTTCTGATGTGTGTCAGGGGTCAGAGGTCCGACAATTTTCTGAGGGTCAACTGAGACCTTACAATCTTCAGGGGTCACCCGAGGCCTGACAATCTTCAGGGGTCACCCGAGGCCTGACATTCTTCAGGGGTCACCCGTGGCCTGACAATCTTCAGGGGTCACCCGAGGCCTGACAATCTTGAGGGGTCACCCGAGGCCTGACAATCTTGAGGGGTCACCCGAGGCCTGACAATCTTGAGGGGTCACCCGAGGCCTGACAATCTTGAGGGGTCACCGGAGGCCTGACAATCTTGAGGAGTCACCCGAGGCTTGACAGTCTTCAGAGGTTACAATTAGGTTTAGGGGTTAAGTTTTGGGGTTTAGACTAGGGGTTAGTATTTTATTTGTCGTATTATTTTTGCCAGGTTTAGGGTGTTAATAATAATAATAAAAAATGTAAAATAAATAAAATACATACACAAATAATTAAAAATAATCCTAAATAAATGAAAAAAATAAATAATATGTAATCATAACTAACAATTTACCCTTAACCTCCAATCCTAAGAAAAAATAATAATAAAAAATTAAACATCCTACCACTAACAAAAAATAAACTAATCATAATATTAATCATAATAAATAAACATCCTAACTTAAGCAAAAAGTAAATTAATAAATTATTGTAGTATTATTAATAATGATGATAATTGTTTTGGTTAGACTGTTTATTATTATTATTATATTTATTTACTTATTTTTAGAGTTAGGGGATTAAGATTAGGGGTTCATTATTATTATTATTATTAATAATAATAAAATATTATTCATTTATTTTATTTATTATTTATCTGTGATGATTTTTTTTTTAATTTGTGTATTATTTTATTTATTTTTTTATTTGACATTTTTTATTCATTTATTATTATTTTTCTTTTTACATTTTTTTTTTTTTCATTTGATCAGAAAAACGTGCAAAAAAAATGTGCAAATCGCGCGTTTCCATTTGTTTCAGTGGGGTGTGATGATGCTGGAAAAAAAAAAATGTGCGAAATAAATAAATATATGCTCCAGAACTTGTTTGGACTTCAGGCGACTTGGAGTAGAGATGTGAACCATCTCCACTGAGAATAACTGATTTTTTTTATTTTTTTGGAACACCTGAATCACATGAATTGGAGGGGATTGGAACACCTGAATCACATGGTTTGGAGGTGATTGGAACACCTGAATCACATGGTTTGGAGGTGATTGGAACACCTGAATCACATGGTTTGGAGGTGATTGGAACACCTGAATCACATGGTTTGGAGGTGATTGGAACACCTGAATCACATGATATGGAGGGGACTGGAACACCTGAATCACATGATTGGGAGGGGACTGGAACACCTGAATCACATGGTATGGAGGGGATTGGAACACCTGAATCACATGATTGGGAGGGGATTGGAACACCTGAATCCCATGATTGGGAGGGGATTGGAACACCTGAATCCCATGATTGGGAGGGGATTGGAACACCTGAATCCCATGATTGGGAGGGGATTGGAACACCTGAATCACATGATTGGGAGGGGATTGGAACACCTGAATCACATGATTGGGAGGGGATTGGAACACCTGAATCACATGATTGGGAGGGGATTGGAACACCTGAATCACATGATTGGGAGGGGATTGGAACACCTGAATCACATGATTGGGAGGGGATTGGGACACCTGAATCACATGATTGGGAGGGAATTGGAACGCCTGAATCACATGATATGGAGGGGATTGGAACACTTGAATCACAGAATCACATGATATGGAGGGGATTGGAACACCTGAATCATATGATATGGAGGGGATTGGAACACCTGAATCATATGATATGGAGGGGATTGGAACACTTGAATCACATGATTTGGAGGGGATTGGAACACTTGAATCACAGAATCACATGATATGGAGGGGATTGGAACACCTGAATCATATGATATGGAGGGGATTGGAACACCTGAATCACATGATTGGGAGGGGATTGGAACACCTGAATCACATGATTGGGAGGGCGGGGCCAATACTATTGGCAATATCGTGTATTTTTCCTGTATACATCCGATGGGTTGCGGTACAGATTGTATGAGGTCACTTTTATCCACGGAAATGAATCGGCGTGGTATTCTTCCTGCTGATATGCTGGATGCAGCTCTTATGCAGGCCATACACGGTTCGAATTCTGAACGACTTTTCGTCTGAAAATCGGAAATGTCGTTCGCTCGGTAATCCGATGGCGCCATCATTGATTTCGAAAATCGACCTACCGAGTCATAAAGTTCACTCCATATAACAGGCGAAACTTCTGTTCCTTCCAGGTCACAGCTCATGCGTATATTCTTTTTGGAAAAAACGATCGTACGATTTGACCATCATTGAGTCGAAAATCGGTCATTTTTCACGAATTTGCCAACGTGCCTGATCACTGAAAAGGGGAGGAACCATGAAAATCGGCCGGTGCCATCGACCCCACTAACAGAGCGAAAATCGTCCGGTGCCATCGACCCCACTAACAGAGCGAAAATCGTCCGGTGCCATTGACCCCACTAACAGAGCGAAAATCGTCCGGTGCCATCGACCCCACTAACAGAGCGAAAATCGTCCGGTGCCATCGACCCCACTAACAGAGCGAAAATCGTCCGGTGCCATTGACCCCACTAACAGAGCGAAAATCGTCCGGTGCCATCGACCCCACTAACAGAGCGAAAATCGGCCGGTGCCATCGACCCCACTAACAGAGCGAAAATCGGCCGGTGCCATCGACCCCACTAACAGAGCGAAAATCGGCCGGTGCCATCGACCCCACTAACAGAGCGAAAATCGGCCGATTATTCTTAGGTCCGATTTTCAGACAAAAAAAATAGGTCGATTTTTCGACCCATGTATGGCCGGCCTTATTGTTGCAGCAGGGGGTATAATTCTACAGCCATTACATGTGTGCATCCCCGGCAGCCACCTCTTCAGCTAAAGAGGGTAGCGGTTGGGGGGTCAAAAGAGTTTTAAAATGGAAATGAGAGACAAAACATATAAATTAAAAAAAAAAAAAAAAAAACTTTTTTTTTTTTTATTTTCACATGTTGTTTTTTTAAGTGATCACTTTCCCTCTGACAACAGAGTGCTGGGGGAGGAGAAAAGGCAGCACACTAGTCTTCCCAGAGAATGGCTGTGCGGGTGGGGGGGGACATGTGACCAGAAGTCTGATCATTGGAGGAGAGCAGGCTGAGTTCCTGCACAGCTAGAGAACTGACCACGCTGTGCTGTCATGCCTAGTGTGGTCAGTTTTTAATAGGAACGCAGGGAATGGCAGGCTCACCAGGGATGTCACACAAAGGAAGCAATACAAAGAGAACAGGAGACTTCTTCATACCAGGACACGGTACAGCCGGCACAGATCTGTTGGGGTGACGTATTCTTTCACTGCAGGGTTTTACTGCTCTTCATCTTCTTCGGGTGTCCACATCACTGCCTGTAAGACACGGACACCTCTTATTGGATGGTCAGTGTTGGCACCTCTCAGGAACTGACCACGCTGCGCTCATTATCACTCAATTCTGCAAGTGGTTCTGATTTACTATCGCTGTTCTCTAGCCGGTCTAAAACCGCGTCTGACCTAAAGGGACGCTTTTTGGACGCCATGGACTTTTCTCAGTTTCCAGGCAGAAAGGGCGGTAAAAATGCAGGCAGGGCGCCGGACAAAGCACTCGGGACAAAATGTATGTGACATGGTTTGATACAGGAATGTTATACGATGTGATTTTAGTGAATGTCACTTTTTTACATTTTTGAAATTCCCGCCAGTTTTGTCCCCCGTACGTCCCGACGTCGATCGGAGGACATTGCCGGGGACACTGCAGGGGGGACATCGCGGGAGCGCAGGACAAGGTGAGTGAAGAACAGATCCCGGAGCAACGCCGCATGGTATTCCCGAGAGTAGCTTTGGGGGGGTCAGCGCTTGTGGTGCTGAAAGTTTACCCCGAGCTACACTCGGGAATACCGCCAGGGGGGTTAAGTAAAATTTGGATATTCGGATAGTTTTCTTGTTTTTAATGCCTGCAGTTATTTGGAGGGGGCGGGGAGGGGGGCGTGCTATTAGTCTGGAGTTCGGCATAAAGAGGTAGAAGGTTCTTTTTTTTTTTTACCTCTAATGCATTCTCCACATCGGTGGTCTGCAAACTTTCTAAACAAAGGCCCCATTTCCTGCCCGTTGGACTTTAGGTGGGACAGACTGTGGTCAGTTGGAGTTAATAATGGTGAAAAAGAAGACTGTGCCCCATCATTGGTGTCAGTGGGGGGAATAGTGCCCCATCATTGGTGTCAGTGGGAGGAATGGTGCCCCATCATTGGTGTCAGTGGGAGGAATAGTGCCCCATCATTGGTGTCAGTGGGAGGAATAGTGCCCCATCATTGGTGTCAGTGGGAGGAATGGTGCCCCATCATTGGTGTCAGTGGGAGGAATAGTGCCCCATCATTGGTGTCAGTGGGGGGAATAGTGCCCCATCATTGGTGTCAGTGGGGGGAATAGTGCCACATCATTGGTGTCAGTGGGGGGAATAGTGCCCCATCATTGGTATCAGTGGGGGGAATAGTGCCCCATCATTGGTGTCAGTGGAGAAATGGTGCCTCATCATTGGTGTCAGGGGGAAGAATAGTGCCCCATCATTGGTGTCAGTGGGAGGAATAGTGCCCCATCATTGGTGTCAGTGGAGAAATGGTGCCTCATCATTGGTGTCAGGGGGAAGAATAGTGCCCCATCATTGGTGTCAGTGGGAGGAATAGTGCCCCATCATTGGTGTCAGGGGGAAGAATAGTGCCCCATCATTGGTGTCAGTGGGAGGAATAGTGCCCCATCAGTGGTGTCAGTGGGAGGAATAGTGCCCCATCAGTGGTGTCAGTGGGAGGAATAGTGCCCCATCAGTGGTGTCAGTGGGAGGAATAGTGCCCCATCAGTGGTGTCAGTGGGAGGAATAGTGCCCCATCGTTGGTTTCAGTGGGAGGAATAGTGCCCCATCGTTGGTGTCAGTGGGAGGAATAGTGCCCCATCGTTGGTGTTAGTGGGAGGAATAGTGCCCCATCATTGGTGTCAGTGGGAGGAATAGTGCCCCATCATTGGTGTCAGTGGGAGGAATAGTGCCCCATCAGTGGTGTCAGTGGGAGGAATAGTGCCCCATCAGTGATGTCAGTGGGAGGAATAGTGCCCCATCAGTGGTGTCAGTGGGAGGAATAGTGCCCCATCAGTGGTGTCAGTGGGAGGAATAGTGCCCCATGAGTGGTGGGTGGTCGAACAGGGCTTTTCCTTACACCTCCTCAGTGGGAGGAATAGTGCCCCATCAGTGGTGTCAGTGGGAGGAATAGTGCCCCATCAGTGGTGTCAGTGGGAGGAATAGTGCCCCATCATTGGCGTCAGTGGGAGGAATAGTGCCCCATCATTGGTGTCAGTGGGAGGAATAGTGCCCCATCAGTGGTGTCAGTGGGAGGAATAGTGCCCCATCATTGGTGTCAGTGGGAGGAATAGTGCCCCATCATTGGTGTCAGTGGGAGGAATAGTGCCCCATCATTGGCGTCAGTGGGAGGAATAGTGCCCCATCATTGGCGTCAGTGGGAGGAATAGTGCCCCATCATTGGTGTCAGTGGGAGGAATAGTGTCCTATCATTGGTGTCAGTGGGAGGAATAGTGCCCCATCAGTGTTGGTTGCCGAACAGGGCTTGCCCTTACACCTCCTGTACTGTCTGTCCCCCCTCCCCACAAGGTTGATGACCGGGTATGACTGAACACTTATGGTGAGTCCAGGCCAGAAGAAGATGTGGATCTGCAGAGTGGCAGATTATCGTCACTAGAACCTGTGAAGGAGCAACAACCGGGCAGCGGAGATGCAGATTCAAGAAACAGAAGCCAAGCAGGGGGGGGGGGGGGGGCAGGAACAGTACCAAACTGATAAGCAGGAGGAAACATCAGGTGGCATGCTGGAGGTCAGATAACAGAAGCATCCAGATCAGGGCCAACCAGGTCATGCACAGAAGAATCAACAAGCCGGGCCTAGTCATGGGTCACATGACTGACAACGACGCAGCTCTGCAATGCTTTAATTAGGCCTTTGGGTGGCTTAGTCAATGCCATCATCCGTGTTAATGCACACACATGTGGATGCGTGCACAGCCCTTGTCCCATGCACAGGTCTGCAGACTGTTCCATGCGCATGTGTTGTTCTTAAGGCATGATCACCTACCCGATCTTCCTGACAGTGTCTGTGCCCCCTTAGGGGGATTCACCCTCTGTATGCTCTGTGTACCATTTTGAAAGAAATCCCAAATTTTGGGTTGTCGCCAGAAAAGGAGTGGGGGGGACTTTTTCCATTGAGGACATTTGTCCTGGTGACAACCCGGGATTCTCTCTTACTTTTCAGATATTTCCTCCCACTTCCTGTGAAGGGAAATATCGCTAATGGGATGGCAAAATACATTTTTTTAGTGGTTATAACCCTCCCTTAACCCATCCAAAGTGAAAAGAAAAAGTTTTGCCTATATTTCTAGTTTACATATCTCGGAAGTGGGGCTGGAGGTAAGTATTTTGGTATAAACCAGCACAAAACACAAATATTACAATAATGAGTGAATATAAAATTATATAAAAAAAATTTTTAAATAGTCTTTAAAGTCCAGTGATAAATATAGGTGACCACAAACCCGTGACATATAAAATTTTTTTTTTAAAAAAAATATAAAAAATTATTTCATAAATCAAAAGTCCAGTGATCCCCAAAAAAACTTTCTAAAAAATAATCTTCAGTGCTTAAAATATTTCTTCCACCATCCACCAGTGCCAAAACCAACATAAACCGCACTCACCAGATGTTGGTGAGTAAAACACCATTCAGGATTATTTAGGGCTCCTGGGACCCCCTTTGTTTTTTTCTCGTTTTTTTGGAACTTGGTTGATTTGGCGAGGGGGACGAGTGGAGAAATACCCATAGATCTGAGGTGGAAAATAGAGGAGTCCTCAAAGGGGTTCCAGGAGCCCTAAATAATCCTGAATGGTGTTTTACTCACCAACATCTGGTGAGTGCGGTTTATGTTGGTTTTGGCACTGGTGGATGGTGGAAGAAATATTTTAAGCACTGAAGATTATTTTTTAGAAAGTTTTTTTGGGGATCACTGGACTTTTGATTTATGAAATAATTTTTATATTTTTAAAAAAAAATTTTTTATATTTCACGGGTTTGTGGTCACCTATATTTATCACTGGACTTTAAAGACTATTTAAAAAAATTATTTATATAATTTTATATTCACTCATTATTGTAATAGTTGTGTTTTGCGCTGGTTTATATTGAGAAAATTTGTTTTGGTTTATATACCTATGCACAGCAGCACTTCACTTAAAATTTGGTTGTTAGTAGATTGGTCCTGGGCGCTGTGTTTTTTTCCATTTAAATTCTGAGTAACTATTTTGGTATATCAAGTTTCATGTGTGTTTGAGGAACTCATCCTATCCCAGGCACATGCTGTACATAGAGAATTCACAACTTGTAGTTATACCCTGCCCCCCACCATTTAACAGACAGTTGGCAGTGAATGTGTTGGCGTTGAGTTGATTGGTTGACTGGGTCCAGCTTTCGAAAGTGTCCTAGCAATCAATACACAAGGTGTTGTCAGAGAGTTTCGAGACTTATTCTGTAACACGCCGACAGATGGCAGTATGCACAGTCACAGGGAGCATTGACCTTCATAAGTCATTGTGCCAAACGACATTGTCCTGTGTACATCGGGCGCTGAGCAAATTGGTGCTATTCTGACCATGTCTGCTGTTTTATCATGGACAGTGTCATGGAACCGGACCCCGACTGCACTAGGGTATTTCCGATAGACCCCGACTGCGCTAGGGTGTTTCCGATAGACCCCGACTGCGCTAGGGTGTTTCCGATAGACCCCGACTGCGCTAGGGTGTTTCCGATAGACCCCGACTGCGCTAGGGTGTTTCCGATAGACCCCGACTGCGCTAGGGTGTTTCCGATAGACCCCGACTGCGCTAGGGTGTTTCCGATAGACCCCGACTGCGCTAGGGTGTTTCCGATAGACTCCCACTTCCCTGTCCGAACACAGATCCACGGACACCACCGCTGACCAAACAGGACTAGACGACACCAGTCGGCTTTTTATACACTCAGGGGACAAATCCCCCCTCCCTGCATAATGACACAGGGCGGGGCAATCTATACTTGGCAACAAGAGACACACACCAACAGACAGTCCCATCAGGTGGGCTGCTGGAAACACCCCCCACCAAGCCAATACACAAACACATACATCCCATAATAGTTTGCTCTCAAGCAAGACACACAATAGAACAATGGGACCACATGGCAGTAAACAATCAGCTACCCCCCACACCAATATTTGAACATTTCACCCTGTACCCCTAACAAGCACAGGGTGACTTACACCTAATAGGGATATGGGGAGTGAAACGGGGTCTCCCCACCCCTCCAACGTGAGCTGGGTTCCATGGGCCCCCCACCCAAAGTCACTCCCATCACAGACAGCAAATCTGCCACAGAAACTGGGCAAATCTTCCACAGAGATGATTCGGCAAGTTTACGGTGATGCTGCAATGAGTCACTGGAGGTGTTTTGAGCTGCACGCTTGCTTCAAGAGTGGAAGAACATCACTGGAATATGACGAGAGATCAGGAAGACCTTCAACGAGCTCAACGCCTGAAAATGCCCTCTTCCCGATTGAAGATCCAGCTCAAAGGTTGCCATTTTCACAACATTGCAAAGATCCAGTGATTTGCCCAGTTTCACGTTTTCTCTTTGTTCTGCCTGGCTGTCCATGATAAAATAGCAGACTCGGTAACGTACGTGGTCAGAGTAGCACCAGTTGCACAGCTCCTGATATACACTGGACAATGTCTTTTGGCACACTGACTTATGAAGGTCCGTGCTCCCTGTGACTGTGCGTGCAGCCTTGTGCTGCCCTGTGTTGGCGTGTTACAAAACTGAAAACTTTAAATTTTTGATACCACCTCGTATCGTCTAGGCTTCCTTCTCCAATTCACTTCCAATAAGTTATACTCCTCACTCAGATTTCTTCATATGGGATGAAAACTAAAGCCAACCAGCAGGAAGGTTGTGTCACCTGAATCGGTTAAAATGCGGAATTTGAATCTGTTGTCTGAAGCAGATGGCATTGCACTAGAACAATAAACACAAATTTCCACCACGGCCTGGAGCAATGTATTTGAAGGGAGTCGGCAAATGGTCACAACGAGGGATTCCTACGTCACCCAACTTCTGGCATGGCTTCCTGTACTTGGAAATACTTTTACGATTTCTCTACCTGGAAATTGTTCTGTTCAGTAGGATGTCCTCAGTTGCCTTTTCAGTGTTTGAAGACGGTGTGTGAACTGAAAGCAGGGCACTGGAAGGGTCTCTTCAAATACGGCACAGCGTGTAGGCCTGGTGGCCCCGATATACGGTGCATGTTTTGTCTAGATGGTGAGTAGAAAATACCTTGTTATAGTGCAAC